AACTTTGGCAAACTTGCCCCGGATGTTTCAAATAGAATTATGCAAATAGCGGCCCACCAAACGTCTGAGTCAGAGCAGCTCGCGTGGAGTTATCGCGCTTTGTTGTGGTCGCGACGTCCGGATTTCTTTAGCTTGTGAACTTTCGTCGGAGTCTCAACAAGAGAATCGCGAAGAAACTACCAGCGAGGGACCCTTCTGCAAGATAAAAAAAGACGATAATTTTCTCCAATTTATCACGTGTCTTCTTCCATGAAATCCTGCCACTGCCTTCGTACTAGCATTAGGATAGGATTTTTCTACACGGATATTTCCAGGGTTACAGATATTATGTCTGCTGCGGGGCTTTTGACAAGATTTGGGATGAACTTGGAGAAATTACGGGAAATGAGCTTTTACATTGATTTGGTATAAGCAGAGTAACTGCTTATCTGCTTACCTATTCAGGATAAGAACGTTATTAGAACGTTAAAGGAACTATAGATGCTTTTTGCAATATATTAGTTCTAATCAACCGATATTCTGTCTCCACTAATCGTGTCCGGATTATCTTTCACCATCCGTGTGACTGATATCAGTCTTTGTTATAGCTCTTATCAAAGGAGAGAATAAGTTTACGGATACCGGCAATCCATTACATACAGGAAATTGATTTCATCAAACATACTCTTTCTATTTTTCCACGACGAAAAGTTTTATAATTTCTAAGAAACTCTTGATCAATAGAGAAAACAACGTCGTGACTTTATACATGAAAATTATTAGTGACGTAATAAATTCACGTAACGATAAAATTTCATAGTAAAAATTTCAAAAAAAATTTTTAAGTAACCCCTCTCTATAATATGCACGTGAAAAATGTAAAATATGACGAAAGAGAGAAGATTGTGCTATCTCAGGGTTATCTTCCGAACCATAAATAATTCCTGCATCGCAAGTAATTTAGAATTCAAATGAAATATTCACTTCTCTTTTTAAAAGCTAACTTCTACATTCTCTAAGGTTCACGCGGGAATGAATTTTAAGCTCTCGAAGCATTGTCTAAAATATTTTCCGTTCACTGTCTTATTTCTTCATATAGTAAACGGAGAAGAAATGGCAATTGCACGCATAAAAGTTATGCCCACACTATATTTAGTATAGTTAGAATTTATAGTATAGAGCCTTAGATTGTACGTCATAATATCTCTTGATTGGCATTATAAATATATATTGCAGAGCTTGCTGGATGATATATAAGCTTTGAGTCAATTACATTAGCGCTGTCTGGATGACAGTAGCGGTATTCTTCATAATTTAGCATTCTGTCGCGTAAAGAATTCTTTGAAAGTCTCGAAGGAATGAAACCATTCACGATGAGAGGGGGTAGCAACAATACGCAGATGTCTTGCGAGTGTTCGATTTGAATATATATAAATATACGTTTTACGTATATAGATAAGAAAAGTCATTTTGCACTATCTCTTGGGAAGTAACGATGTATGTATCCAAGTTGCGAAATCTCTATATGCTTTTCTGCTTTTTCTTGGAATCTGACACGAAACTTCCATGACAGCAGTTTCAGAATCATTTGTCAAGTTCTAGTATACATGATCAAATTTGAAAAGGATTTTCGTCTTGTATAAATATTATAAATTAGTTTTCAACAAAAAGACGGTAAAAAATTGTACAGCCAGAATATTCATTTCAGTGTGTTACGCAACTGACTCTTGTGAAATAGTAAAATTGATTGTCGCAAATTTGCCTTGATTAGCGCTCGAAATTGCATGTTCGGTGTTAGTGATAGTTACGTCACGCCTACTTTTTATGGAATAAAAAGGGGAAGAACGAAGAATAAAGCTCGATTAATCGATGGCGCTTCAGCTGGTAATCGAGTGAACGACATGACCAACTAGTTTTCTCACGGTAGTTATTTATTTTCAACGTGGCTAATCGGCAGTTATTTTTTTGTAGTATCATTCTTCTTTTTCCTTCGCTTAGTACTTCTCGACTGGTCGTAATGATGATCGTTGAAGTTTCTCATGAGAGAAGTGCAAAAACTAAAACTATAATGTAGAAGCAACTCTTGCGACGAACTTATCTACCAAGACAATTTTTGTTGATAACTTTATCCTTTTAATAATATCGAAACGTTCGAATCCATTTAAAAATATTTTATTAAACAATATTTTATAAAACCCCAGTATCCTTTCGGTCAAGCATGAGAATCACAGAGAACCAGAATATCGATCATAGTACGAATCTGCAATGTTCGCTTATTTCTATCGTGGAGTTTCAGCACATATATATATATATAATCATGTACAAAGTATAGTTTGAGGACCCAGGCGATTAAGGGGCATCCACAATAGCGAGCTGATGTTTTTTTTTAGCTAATACTCTCAGGCATCACAGCATTGAAATTCTAACCTAACCTAACCTAACGAAACACTTTCTAAGCCCATCACAACTCTGGATGTCTAGCATTCAAAAAAAGTAAACAAATTTGATGTGACAGTCGCTTTATGGGCCTCAAAACATGCATTATGTTGAAAATACTTTGAGGCCCGACCCCAAACTATACAATTTTCCTCAAACTAGCAGCTACTGAAATTCTCCCCAAAGTATGCTTTATTAATGTATACATATACATATAGGTATCCTTTCTTACCGAAGCAAATATTAATCTGTGGTAAATTATATGTGGGGATACAATTTACCATGTACAGTAGGGGCGAAAAATACTATCATAAGAAGACCGAATACTGATTGTGCAAAGGTAGATAACGTATTTTTATTTACCGCTTAACGCAATCTGGTAGACGCGAAATCACGGAATTCTCAAATGATTTTAGCTTAGTTAAAGGATCAGTATATTTTTTCTTCTTATATTAAATATACATAGATATAGGACAAATATAGTTGAACAAAATCTGTCCTTTGTTAATGTATTTGCTAAATTCGACTATTTTAACACTAGGTTTACGGACGTTTTTTTATATACCTATCTCTACGGCACCCGTCAAATTGACGGGTGAATGAAAATACGCACTTTCTTTAAAAAACAGATTTATTCAAGTTAACTCAAAATTGCATAATATTTGGCTTCACGTTTAAATAAAGTATCAAGAAATAAAAAGTCCTTTAAAAAATATCGTGGAAATAATAACAATTATACTAACGGGTAATCCTACTTATTGAGTACATTTTTTACAGGTATATTGCACTTTGCCTGTGCATTTTCCGCATACCACTTCTTTGCAAGATATACAACAATTGCTGCTTTTATTTTTGTTGCAGTAGCCCACTTGGCAACTTTCTCGCTCTTGTAGTATTATAGATGATGAAAAAGCGTCTGATCGTTGGCAAATGTTCTCCTTGTTTTCCGCACCTAATTCCTCGGCTAAACTAAACATGTATTGTTTCCTGGATATCTTGGCTCCGGTGCACTGTTTATATAGTATCCACGCGTTTATTGCTGCCAAATCTAATATATTGAAAAAGATGTGAAGAGGCCATCGAAAATTGCCTGCTTTTACGCTATATTTGCGTGCCATCTGGTCAACGACGTCCACTCCGAACTTCGTTTTATTATAATATGATATAGTTTCGGGAAGACGTTTGTGGTTGTCTTCTATTTGTACACCTGCATGTCTGGTGCTTAGAAGGAGGACTTTTATGGTCGGCTTACTTTTATATACAGTAAGGATGAAATTTTCTGATTTATATAAATCTGAGGAGAGCAAAGTCATCTTATCTTTTTTTTCTTTTACGGGTTTTGGCAGTTCTCGTTTGTTTGACCGGATGGTCCCAACCAACGTTGTTTTTCGCGCAAGCAATTTTTGAGCTAGCGGGATGCTTGTAAAGAAATTATCTGTTATATTTCTGCCTCGTTCTAAATATGGTTCGGCTATTGCCAATGTGACAAACTCACCCAACGATTGTAAGCTTCGGGCTTAATCTTTCCCCAAATAAGGGAAACCGTTCACAATATATTTTGATTCCACGTCAACTGCTAACCAAAACTTGATGCCGAATTTATGAGGCTTATGCGGCATATATTGCGTAAACCTGCATCGAGCTTTCGTCGGAAATAACTGTTCATCTACTGAGATGTTTTCATGTGGCTTATAACAAGCCTGACTGTTACTTATAAATTTCCTCTTTCCTCCTCTTGCTCTTGAGCTCTTTTTGGCGATAGGAAATAAAAGTTGCGTAGCAGACCCACATAAACACTCAGGTCATACGACCCGCTTTAGTTTACACTATCGAGGCGAGATTGAGATAACGAAATGGAAACGGAGATCATAAAGACATTGCTTTCACTCTTGTATTTCCTACTGGATGAATAATGTGGCGAACAAAGCAAAAATATAAGGATTATTTTCGAGATAAGCGTACCCGTCAATTTGACGGGTCCCGTAGAGATAGGTATACCATATATGAATCTCAAAAAGTAAAAGACTTAGGGAAAAAA